GCAGGATCATGTCATTAGAAGATCAGAATCAGAGTGATAATGGGAAATCGAAGGGACAAAGGCATTTTCTTATCTACATTTAGGAAGAAAAAAAGAAGTCTGACAGTAGAAACTTTAAAGTGAACGGGACTTGTATGTCCATAAAGAATATATGGGTCCCAAATTTCTTACATCCCTAGCCTTCATTGGACGGTATTTGTATGTCCATAAGCAATCCTTAGGCTGATTACTACAACTGGAATAGTTTGACATTACCCTGAAATTTAATGAACCAATAAAGTGAACAAGATTGCAACATATATAGATAGGTTAATCTCAAACTAACGCACAGGTTTTGAATTGATATTCGCATTGCCTCTAACTGAGCAGGTGCAACTTGAGACAACGGAGCATAAAGATATTGGTGAACTAAAAGTATCCCAAGTATAGTGAGGAAGAAACCTTTATTTAATTATATAACATTTCGATTTAAACAATTACTACAAAATTCTAATTCATAATAGAAATTCCAAGACAATTCACATAGGAAACCTTCAACCTTTCCTCAAGAATACTCTGCTGCTCAATATCTGACGTATTCATGTAAGCACTATGTTCAGAAAGCAAGCCAAGTTTAACGACCTCATTATCCTGACAAAAGTAAGAGAAAATTGAATTGGAATAGAGTTCCTTAATTAATGTTATTCAGATAGGTGGTGAAAAATGTACCTCCTCTTCCTTTGAGTGATCTGCTTCCTGTAAGTGCTGATAGCACATCACTTGCCCGTGAACTAAGAAGTCAGGGACTGTTTTTGATGTTTCATGAGCACTTTCTTGTTCAATGAGACACTGATCTAAAGATACCGTGTTCTGAAAAGTTGATGCTTTGCAGGGTTGGAAAACGGTGGGAAGCTGGTCAAATTTTAAGCACTCAACAGAGCCTTCAAAAATTGAAGAGGGCATATATTCCAGATCAGTACTACTTTTCATAAAGGGTTCCTCACAAAATGTCCAGTTTCTCCAATCAAGGAACACAACATCATCCTGCATAGCAGAATTTTAAGATTCATCTTAGGTGAGAAAGATAGGTACAAACAATAAAACCCAAGAACAGCTAATGCCATATCTACTCCATATTGTTATACAATGTGGACATGGATAATCCAAAAGAACCGTACCTGAGTCCTTTCAAACACGTGAATTGGGCCACAAGTATTCTCTTTATCCTTACTTCCAATGAAGCTTGAATCACCATCAACTTCAATTGCCTCCCGATTTTTCTTGCTTGCTTTACAATATGAGAAAAATGGATGTATTTGCTTCCCTGAAAATATCCGTGAAGTTTCCTGATCAAACATAAAAAGGAAGAAACTTAGAGCGACAAACCAAACGCCAAAGCTGGCACAAAAAAGGAGCTAATAAGTGCTTTTTTTTGGGTCACAGGCATAGCAAATAAACCCAATTTACAATGGTACAATCCAACCACTAAAATAACAAAGATTATAAATTTAAAGAATAGTTGGGGTTTGATGCTGATTTGAGTTTAATGGAGAAAATTTAATCAGAAAGAGCATGATAAATCGTAACTGGCTGAAACAACAGAGCAGTTAAGAAGACTAAATAGTACTAGAAAAAAGACCCATTAAAAACAAATAAAAAGAAATAAAACAGAATGACTGACCTCGGCTTTCAATCTAGCCTCCAACCTCAAATCAGGGATTATTACTGGAGCTACAGTTTCACTCTCTACCTCAGTTGCATTCTTCTTCGGTGTACTATTCGCCGAACGCTTACCGTTCTAAAATTAAAAACAATAACACCAACAATTTGATTCATTAAAAGAACTATTAACCTCAAACTCAATCAAGCAAGGCAAATAATGTACCATACGAATCAGAATAAAGCTCAACAAGAACCAAAAATTGCACATAATTCACCTTCTTAGGAGCTTTAATTGGAGGCGTTTTCTTTGCCTTTGCCTTTCTCTTCCTCTTGCTTTGACTCCCACAGAAATCCTCGTCCTCGCCGTCATCGTCTTCACCATTACCTCTCTCGGCCTTCAGATCGCCGTCTTCCTCGAGCTGTTGTAGGGGTTTGAGAGGGAACAATGTGGACTGAACCAATCTCCGGCGAACGACTCGCCGTGTCGGCGTCGAAGGCAGGGCGTTCTGAGCTGAATTGTCCATGGAATTGGAGTGGATTGGGAATTTGGGATGGTGGGTGAATTGGGGTTTTGTGGGGGGTTTTTAGGGATTTTGGAGAAGACTGGTAAGAGTTTATGTGTGTAACGGAAACGTGATCTTACAGTGAGGGAAAAAAGAAAAGGCAAAAACAAAACAAAAAATTATGGAGGGAAAAAGGAGGTTGTTCCCGCCTTTAGAGGAGGGATTTGGGTTATCACGCTTAGATTTTTTATATTTAATTTCATTCAAATTACACATTAAATTGTTGTTACATTTTTTTTATATCGAATTAAATGGTTGGTAATTAATTCTCATTAAACAGTAAAAAGATTGTGGTTATTGCCTATGCTAATTAGGTAAGTTGACCATGATAATGAACGGGCCTCCTTGAACTAAAGTTCGAATATCTTTGTCAATAAGTCTAATCCAGTGAAAAAGGGTATTAATTTACAAACTAATAGTCTATTGTTCGAACCTCCATGGCACCGTGGCAATGTGTGTGTTTGAGAAGCCCCCTCCCCCTTCCCTTCTAATTTATACTATCGTTTGTACTAAAAAAAAAAACACTTATAATATCTTTCTTTTTTTAGATTATATTAATTAATCTAATCTAAACTATCGTTTGTAATAATCTATAGTAGAATATGACTTTTAATTTCTAAGTAATGACCTTTTTTGTGTGGATAAAGAAGTAGTGACCTTTAGATTAAGGTCAAGTCATGTAGTATTTTTATCTAAAACTAGATGCACTTAATGTATAGTTGGGAGCCATTACACTGTAAAATTTTGTTATTCTTGCCATTAGGTTTCAAAATGTACTTTGGCCACTACATAACTCGTTTTCAATTGATCCAATTAGAAGATTGCTGGAACAAATCATTATTTAATAGTATATAATATGTAAATTGTTATTTTTTCTAAATTAGTAAGAGACTTATATGAACCATTTTCAATTATTGGCAATGAATATTGATATTTATTATTTCCATAATTATTTGTAGTTTATTCAAATTGTACCCCGTTTCAAATGTTCAAAGATGCATTTTCTTTTGGTATGATATTTCAAAATTGCGTACTTTTTATATTAATAGTGTCTTTCTAGTTCGTAATGGAAGCAATCTTCTCTACCGTCATAAAATAAGAGCACCTAGCTTTGCCTATTTACAAGGACTTCATTCTAAGTATATATATATATATATATATATTCCATTTTTATTGAGGGTATTCGAGGGACATCCTTTAGGGTATCCTACGAATTTTTTTCTAACGATCCAAACTATCTATTTTTTAAGTCTACATTCATAGATTATCCTTGCAAAAAATTAGACAAATTGGAAACCGTTTCGACTTCCAATTGTATCATACAAAATCAAGGAACACGGTGCTTCAAGAAAATATTAAAATTTATATAACACAATTGAGTGGTCAAATGATATCAGATTCAAGTAATTTTTTGTAGAAACATAGACGGTTTGGATTAGTGAAATACAATGCGAAGTGGGCCCTACAAGAGTGTCCCCCAAATAAGGATCCCTCAATGAAGCTCTCTCTCTCTCTCTCTCTCTATATATATATATATATATATATAAATTTCCGCGTGCGCATGCGTTTCCGCGTTTGTGAGAGGTTTTTTTTTTATAAAAAAATTTATTTTATTTTAGAATTAAAAAAGATAATGGGTAGTTGTAGTCCATAAAAATAAGATTCATTATTTGAATTTTTTTTAAAATTTTTGTTTTTAAAATATGAAAAAGTGTGAATTTACCATATTATCCTCATTTAATTAATAATTTATGAATGTTTGCATTAACCAAGAGCATTTTATGATATTTTGAATGTTTTACCATTCTATGTCTTTTACTTTATATATATAGATATAGATTAATTTTTAAAGACGGCTATTGTTTATATATATATATATATTTGTGCAAAAAGACGATTCACAGAATGTTCACTCAAACTCGAATTCTCTACTTTTTTATTTTTAAAATAGAGTATTCTAACATTAATATTTTATTGCATGAATTTATAAGTTGTGAGATTGCCACTCCAATGATAATAAGCAAAAACTACTAACATTGCACCACATATATAGCAGCTACAAAAAATTGTTAGATATGATGAAACATTTTATACTTAACCAAACTATGTAGATTTGAAATTTCAAAATCTATTTTTCTTTTTTGGGTAAATTAATTTCAAATTGTATTGATGCTTTCATTGACGATTCCATAAATAAAAACACACATCAGGCTCAGGCCCCAGTGTCAGCTTCAGGGCTTTCATCTTTTATTGAGTCCCCACAAGCAGGCTCAAGGCCCACGACCCATTTTATATCGGGTCGGTTATCCGATCCAGATATCAACCATTGATGGACACGCGACTCACAAACAGGCAGAATATGAAAGAAACTATCCGATCCAATCACGTGAAACCGTGTTTTACACGTAACAAAAGTGCGCCTACATAATATACCATTCCAAGTCCAGACCAGCAAGAAAAGAAAACCAGAAATTCTTTCACTCATGTCTGAAAAGCACGGGATAACAACTCCATAATACAGGATAGTGGGGTCCACTTGGATGTGAATAAATCTCAACAAGGGAAGCTGGAATTACCAAAAGACCCCGAATACTACAGTCCAAAAGTGGCGGGAATATTGCAGTAGTGGACAACAGCAGGGGCAAGGATGGTAAACGAACGACAAGTCCTTTGACGGGAACGACGTCGTCTCGATTGGCAACATTACTTTGCAAAAGGCAGAAAAATGGAGAAAAATAGTAGGTTTGACGAGGACAAATTGGTCCAGCAGAAAGTTATGTCCCAGGCTCCCAGCTCAAGAATCTGACTTGTGTCTGTACACTTCACTCTATGCTTAATACAAAACAATTGTCTTCTTCTCTATCTGTCAGCTTTCTTTGCCTCTTTGAAAACAACTTTCCCTTCTCCATCTCCATCTCTCTCTTTCTCTGAGCTTCAGAGAAATCAAAAAACCCTAAACCCAGACTTGAATATCCTTAAAAATTTCAGGTTCTAACTCTCTCTCTCTCTCTCTCTCTCTCTCTTTCTCTGAGCTTCAGAGAAATCAAAAAACCCTAAACCCAGACTTGAATATCCTTAAAAATTTCAGGTTCTAACCAATTTAAACGCAGCATTTTGGTGTCCGGCTTCCGCCATTGAAGACCCATCTTTCCATTTGTTCTTCTAAGTATAAAAAAGCTAAGCGAAACCCAGAAAGAAAGACCTCGAAGCAAAAAAAACGCTTCTTTCTGCGAGTCGAGGCTTCATTCTTAAACCACTGCTAAACCCTTTTTTCTCTTTTGCTCTATTGAGAGAGATAAAGCCCAAAAATGGTGAATAAAAAACCTTTCCACAAAACCCACATCTTCCTTTCTCTTCTAGTCTTCACCAATGTGGCTCTGCTCGTGACCTCCAAGTCCACAATCGAGCCCTGCGCGAACTCAGACTCGTGCAACGCCTTGCTCGGCTACACCGTCTACACCGAGCTCAAGGTCTCCGAGGTGGCCTCGCTCTTCCAAATCGACCCAATTGCTCTTCTCACCGCCAATGCCATCGACATTTCGTACCCTGACGTCGAAAACCACATTCTCCCTTCCCAGCTCTTCCTCAAAATCCCAATCGTCTGTTCCTGCGTCGATGGAATTCGCAAATCGGTCTCGACCCACTACAAGACCCGGCCTTCCGATACGTTAGCCTCCATCGCCGATTCGATATATTCGGGTTTGGTATCTGCAGACCAGATTCGGGAGGCCAATTCCATTTCGGACCCTTCGGTTCTGGATGTGGGGCAGACCCTTGTGGTGCCTCTGCCCTGTACTTGCTTCAATGGGACTGATAATTCGTTGCCTGCTATCTACTTGTCGTATGTGGTGACCCCGGTGGACACTTTGGCTTGGATTGCGGCTAGGTACTCGACCACCCTTACTGATTTGATGAATGTTAATGCCATGGGAAGTACGGCCATTAAAGCTGGTGATATACTTGCAATCCCATTGCCTGGTAATTTCTGTTTTTGCTCATTTTATCAAGTGTTTGATATTGAAACGTAGTTTTAAAGTGGTTTTCTGAATTAGATCTTGTTGAATTTTGGTATGTTGAGTTGATTATGATGCTGCAGTTTGTGGGTACTTTGTGTTTTTGTAATTTTATAATTGTTCGGTTCTAATTTGGCGGTATTTGTGCTTCATGGTTTGATTACAATTGTTGCACTAATCGGGGAGTTTGTGTATGTTAATGGGTTTTGATTAATTCGAAGTTCAAACCAATAACCGTATTATGAATTTTTGAATTTTTCCTTTTGGGTGGTTATGGTGAACTCATGTCTTGTTCGTCTGGATTTTGTTCCTCACAATTGCAGCTTGTGCATCAAACTTCCCGAGATATGCTGCAGATTACGGCTTAATCGTGCCCAATGGGAGCTATGCCATTACAGCAAGTCACTGCTTGCAATGCAGTTGTGGGCCTGGGAATCTCAAGTAATTGAGTTACTTTCACATCTATATGCTCTCCAACTTCTCTGTTGATCTAGTGTTAATCACTTAATTGTGTTTTTCTTTCTACAGTTTGTACTGCCAGCCTGCTTCATTAGCAGTTTCATGTTCGAGCATGCAATGTAGAAACAGTAACCTCATGGTCGGGAATGTTACAGTTCAGCAGAGTGGTGGTGGTTGCAATGTCACGTCTTGTAACTATGGTGGTTTTGTGAACGGCAGCATAATCACAACGTATGGTTATCCTTTCTGATTGTACTTTGCAGTCTTAATATTGTCATTCCGAAATGTATTGACTTATGTTTTCATGTTAAACTGATTCCTTCCTACTCTGCAGGTTGTCTACATCTCTCCAACCCCGCTGCCCAGGTATGATGATAGATTATGCTTGGCTGATTAGAAGGCACATTAATATAGATATAACTTGCAATTTAGGTTTATGGATTTCCCAAGAAATATGAACGTGTCTATTTGGAATTGGTTCTCGTACTTTCTTAAACAGAACGAAGCTTTTTACCCTGTTTCTTTGTGAATATTTGGTGCATGCTTTTGATTCTTTTCTCTATAGTACTGTTAAGTGCCATTTCAAATTATGGACTGGTTTATTTATAGTTGTTTTTAAAGTGTGTAAGCTGATTGTGTATTACTTTCTATTTAAAATAAGGTCATGACGGAGGTTCATATTAGGGACAGAAGAGTGATTTCTTTAGCTGAAAAAAAAGCTTCATGGAGCTAGGAATTTTGTTGTGATTAATTTGTAACTCAAGAAATGTACTTTGAAATGCAATGCAGGGGCACAGAAATTTCCACCACTTATAGCCCCACCTACTTCGGCAATCCGGGATACAACCTTTGCACCCTCACCTGCTCCCCAGTCAGATGGCGCCGGGGGCACAGGGACACCCAAGTCGTCTTCATTGGTACCTTCAACAACCAGCATGCTTCCAGGATTGGCCCCTATAGGTGGCCCTGCTGGGAGCGCTTCTGGGAGTGCTTCTGATGCCTGCTCCTTGATTAATCCATTGGCCAATTTCCCAACCGCAGTTTTGTTGCTTTTGTATGTCAAGTTCATGATGGCCATCTTATAATGATTTCGGTTGTGTTATCGAAGGTGGCTTCAATGTTTGACGGGTGTGATTAGTCCGTTAACCTTATATTTGTTTGTACTGTTCAAACTGATTTTGTGGATGTGGCAAACCATAATGGGGTTTCAATTACTGATGGGTTTTGTTTTGCTCAACTGCCAGATTATGAAGCACTATGAGGTACTGGCAGTTGCCATCTCTGTAATCTATTCTTGTTTTCACTTTCTAGACCCTCAAGATTTGCCTAGACTAGTTTTCTTAAAAGTGAGCAGAAAAGTTCAGTAATTTTACATGTCCTAATTCTGACCTATTTTTTCACATGCCCCTAACACATTTTTTTAACTCTTCCTCATCACCATGGTCATAAAACAAAATGTCTAGAGGTTATAATTGTTCAACCCAAGAGGTTACAATCTTAGTTAAAGGAAATAAATGCCATAACGTTTGCATGAAAGATGATCTGGTTATATATATAAAGAATTTTCTTTCCGTATGGAAAGGAGATCCAATTAATGTACGCGTTACAGTACTCTTCCACGAATAAAGAAGAAAAACAAAAATAAAGAAAAGAACCAATGAATTAATCAATCAATTATATGCTTACATGACCAAGAACCTAGCTAGCTACAATATATTGAACATCGTCCTTGTCACAAAAGGTATATACGAGAATGAGCACAGTAGCTGCAAGAGCTTGCAAAAGAAACCAATATGCTATCACCTCTCTGTGCCAAGAAAATCCATGAGACAGAACCTTTGTCACAATGGTGACGTCGTAGTGTGGATACAATAGGGTTTGGAAAGCCGGATCGAAGAAGTCCTCAACCCCATGAACAATGAGTCGTCCGTTGTTGTAGACATTCCATTCAGTGATTTTGACTCGGTTAATAGAAGCGTGTGATGCACTCATGCGAGTTGGTAAAGAAGTAACAACAAGAGGATGACCGGGCAAAAGAGTGCGAACATCGGAACCATGACCAACATATGCCTCTATTGTATCTCTGTCGAACTTGAATGGCACAATGTGATACTTAAGGAGTGTCAACGGAGGCTGTGGATACTTGGAGTTGAAGAAAGCTTGGTCTCGAGGACAAAAGAGGGTAAAAGTGGTGTTGGTGTGGTTTAGGGATTGTATTGCTGGCATGATCACGGCCTCAAGAATGGTGTCTAGGGTTAGTGACATGGCATGATAGCCCTTGTCAGAGAGTACGGCTGACGGTTTGGGTTGGTGTGTTTGCTCGACAGCTTGACTGGTACTAATAACAAATAAGAGACTTGAAGAGAAAACAAGAAGAAGAAAACAGATTGAAAACTTGATGGAAGCCATAGGAGAAGAGAAAGCAAAAGCAAAGGCAAAGCTATGTGTAATTGCAAGGGATTTTGGTGTGAATGGAAAGGCTGAGGCTAAGCACATATATATATAGAGTTTCCAAGTCCTACCCTGCTTCTAATTGGTTTCCAAATCCCTTCAGGATTCCTTTTAGTTGAGATAATGATTTGGCCCTTGGCGGTTTCCTTTTTTTCTTGGGGTTTTTTCTTTAAGGCCAAGTTACTTCTTGTCTTTCCTAAGCTGTTAAGGACTATCGATGCATATCCTACTATGTCGGTTTCATTTGTTTTGAGTTTGTCTTATTTTTCATTTTAAAATGCAATTTATAATTTGCTTTAGCATTTTTTAAAATAAGTTTGTTATCCACGGAAAGGTGGTTTACAGATATACAAAAAATAAGGTCTACCTATGTTACGCGACTAGCTTAACGAATCGCTTAACATAATTAACGAAAATGACAAAATGAGACTTGATGATAAAATTCAAAGAGTTTTTGTTTTTGTTTATATATAATTGAGTGAGTTAAATAAGACAAATTGAGTTTTAGGAGTAAAGTTAGATTCAAGTCATCCTAGCATAAGTGTGTTTCTTAATTATTATTTTTTGTTGGAATCGAGTTTTATTAAATAGAAGGTCAAAGCCAAATTACCTCAAAATGAACTCAAATAATTGAGTTCACACTAAATGCAACACAAATAGACATAGAACCCACTACAATAAAAAAAAACTAACAAAATGCATAAAGAACACATAAATGCATTAAGCATACATAAAGGCAAAAGGCCACATAACGAAAAAGGCCCACAAATGGCAAAAGCCCACAAAAAAAAATACAACATTAGGAAACCCTAACACAAAATAACAAATATGTGCCACACAATCCAACAACCACAAGCTGCGCCACCAAAGTAAGCCAACAACCACCAAAGATAAATTAGTAACCACATAAAATGGTGGTGAGCAAGTCACCAAAGCTACAACTAGTAGGAATTTTTAGAATGGTTATTAGTTCAAGGCTTATTTGTAGCAATGGTCCCTTAATTATACTCGGAGTTACATTTTGGTCACTAAACTCCAAAAATAGTTATAGAGGTCGCTCCATTAGGTGTTGTGTTGTACCATTAGTCCATACTGTCAAGTATCTCTAACGTGGTGTCAATTTCATGGGCAAATTTGTCTTTTCAAGTCTACAATTTCCAACCTCCCATCTAAAGTAACTTCCCCTCGAAAAATTTCAAATCTGGCGCCAAAGAAAATCCCCAATTCCCATTTATATTCGATGAAATGCACATAAACAACACTAGATGTAGCACAATGCATGCGCAAAGTGTTGAAATTTTTGGAAATTCAAAGGAAATCTGGTTAAGCTCACACAATGCATGTGCAAAGATGTCGCATATTTCTTCTTCATAACAAATCAGAGCCCTAGTGCAAGGAAGCTATGCTGGTGCGAGGGATATATCAAAACCTGAACTTCATGGACTAATTTAAATCCTAGGAGAAGATTTGAGGCTTGTGAGATGAGTCGAGTAAGTTAATTTGTGAAATTTTATTTTGTTGCTTGATGGGTTTAGCTTTGATGTGAGAAAACGTACTTTGCAAAGAAACTGAGGAAATGGGCATCATTGGGAGTGGTTGGACGCAACGACTTGTGCAAGAGGAAAAGAACTAATTCCTGGGTTGCTTAGAATAATCAGAGTAATGGAAGAGGACCTAAAGTTGATAGAAGAACAGAAGAAAAAAGTGGAAGATAAGCTGAAAATGGTGGAGAAAGAAAAAAAAAAGGAATTGGAGTACAAAGTTGGATAATTAGGCAAGCAGAAAAGACTGTTGGAAGAGAAAAGAATGGGCCAACAACCAAGAGAGAATCGGATTTGGGGGGTTTCATTTATGTCTTTGGGTCTTGGGTTTTTGGTGATTATGATGATGCTCTGTATCTTGAGCAATTGGTTGACATTTCCAGGTGGAAACTCTGAAAAGCTTATGATCAATTAGGTGGAAATGTAACCGATATGTAGTTCTTATTGCAACAGACCCAACACTTTTCTCTATGATTTTCACGAAACTGAAACCCTAGATTTGTACTTAATCACTATTTTAACTCAAAATCCTTCGCTACTTAGTCCATTAAAGAATAATGCTGAGATAATGTTCCAAAATCCCCCAAAAATTGAAGTTAAATACCTCTCGATTTGAAAACCCTAGATTCTCTACCTTTGCGATTTTTCCTTTTGCTCAAACTACCATTTTTGTAAGTGTCGTTCTCTTCAAAAGCAGAAGATTCGTTTTAATTAACTGAAAAGTCACATTTGCCCTTCAATAATTTGTGACATGCTTGCCACGTCATCATTTTAAACAAAAAAAGTCATAGATTTTACGGTAGAGACTAATGGTGCAACACAACACCTAATTGAGTGACATTTGTAACTATTTTTGGAGTTGAGTGACCAAAATGTAACTCTGAGTATAGTTGAGGGACCATTGCTACAAATAAGCCTTAGTTCAAAGATCTAAGCTACCACAATAAGGGGAGAATGTACTAATTTGACGATGTGAGATGCGTTTGGATAAGTGTGAAATTTTTTTTTTTTTTTAGAAGGAGAATTCATTCATAAAACCACTAACGTACAAAGGGTGACATGGTACAGTGGCCTCGTTAAAACCTTCCTATGACAACCTCATGAGACAAACCCCATGGGAGGAAAGAGTACCACACATGTCATGGACTAACAAGATAGTCAAATTCAGGTCACTTTGGACCATTACAATAATAGAACAAGTCAAAAACGAAAACTAACACAAAGACCTCTAACAAGAATCGCAACTAGAGACCAACATAGTAGACCCATATGAGAGGACCGCAAAAACCCAAAATAGTAAACCTACAGGAGAGGACCGCAGAACATCCCAACTGTCAAAAGAAGCCTTCTATGAGCAAAATCATAGTCTTTTGACACCCACACAAACTGTAAAACATACCATAGCGGAAATCGGGAGAAAACACAGAGGAGGAACACAGAAATGACAGTAAAAAGACCCCTGAGAAGCACTCCACTTCAACTCAGAACCTGACAAAGAAAACCTCATATGACCAAGCTGTAAGTTATTTCAAGTCTTTATTCAATAATACTAACCTTGATCAGACATGGCTTCAGTAGGTAGGATAGAGATCTTCTTCTTCTATGCAGTCCTTAAGCTCTTTCTCTTATGGGGTGAGATTTCTGTATGAGTATGTATTTCGACTGATAGAGAAGGGACCTCTATTTATATGCATTTACTTAAGTTTCCTGCCCATTAAGAAATACTTAAGCAATCCAGATTGCATTAGGATAGTGTGTTTCAATCCATATAGAATTAGGAATTCTCTAAGTTCTTTTCTTATTAAAACACTCTCTAGAAAAAGAACCGCAGATAATGTTTAAGTTTGCACTCCTAGATCATGTGAATTGCCAAATCCTTATAGGATTAGAAGACCACATTTACGTAAGACAAGTTATTGTCTTACACAAGCATAGTTCTTCGGTCGGCGTAGAGTAGAGAAGAGCACCACATCCCAACAACTACCACTAGCGTCACTGCTGCTGCCGCTGTTAAAACAGAGACAAAACATTAGCCACCAGGTATCACAACTCTCCTAATGAGAGACACAATCTAGCATCACTACTGTCGCCGCTGCCAAGAAAAAGACAACACCAATCACCTTGAACATTGCGTAAACAACCAAACAAAACAAACAGACAAACACACCTAGATCTAAAATAGATCTAGACTATCTGGGGAGGAGAAGGGAAGGAGAAGAGGAGATTGGCGGAGGGGAGGAGGGGCAGTGGCCACCTCCCCCCCTTAGCTTCCTTGCAGTTGGTTGTCAACAAGGAGAAAAGGGAGCAGGTGCGGTTGATAAGTCCGAATTTACATAAATGAGAAACCGTAGAATAAGAGGCAAAATAGTAATTAAACCAAAAAAAGAAATTATACAACTCCTAAATGTGATTTTGAACTAAAATAATAAACAAAATCCTAAATATAATTTCTCACGCACAAATGCGACATTCAGCTTGAGATTGAAAGCGTTGTCGTTTGAGTAAATTCCCAATCGCCGAGGCCCAAAGTTCCGGCGCGAGGATTTAACCAATAACATAACATAGCATCAGTGTATCAGTGATCAGTCAGTGCACATCAGAGAGCGTAGAAACGCACGCACCTCAGCTATGGCTTCTGCTCCTTCAAAGCTCTATGCTGGTCTCTCTCTCTCTCTCTCTCTCTCTCTCAATCTTCACAGAGGCACATTCCATTGTTAGCATTTAAGCGTTTGATTGTGTTGTTGTAGATGATGTTAGCCTTCTGATGGTTTTGCTCGACACGAACCCTTTCTTCTGGAGCTCATCTTCCCTCCCGTTCTCCATGTTTCTCTCCCATGTAATCTCACCCTTTCACTACTAAACCCTAATCCCCTGTTGGGTTTCGCAGAAGAACGTCAAAGTTTCATTCTTTTTAAGCGAATTTAATTTCCCCATTATTAAATCAGGCTAAGTATATTTTCAATCCTTCCGATTGTTTTACAGGTGCTTACATTTTTGAACTCGATTTTACTACTCAATCAACTCAACCAAGTTGTGGTTATTGCTACGGGATACAATTCCTGCAGTTACATCTACGATTCTTCTACCTCCACGAACCAGGGTTCTGATAATGGAAGAATGCCTGCACGGTGCGTTAACTTGTTGCAGAAGCTGGAGGAATTTGTGATCAAAGACGAGCAATTGATCAAAGAAGGCTTGAGAGAAGGGATTGCTTCTTCGCTGCTATCTGGGTCCTTATCAATGGCTCTTTGTTGTATCCTTTATGCCAATGCTTGTTTTAATTTTGGGTTCTTGGGTATCTAATTGAAAAAAACCCCATTGTGTGCTAATGGCATTTGAGAATGCACTGAGTATTTAAGTAGATTTCTTATTTTAGAATGCTGGTCCCGTGGCAATGCTTATTGCAGATATAGGAATTGTGTTGGAGCTAGTACATAATAACTGAGCTATTTTATTTTGTGGGAACATTTAAGTGCATCCACGCAAACTTTGTTGACCTATATTTGATGGGTAGATATACAGAGAGTTTTTCGATCTGGACCGCTTCATCCTCAACCCCGGGTGAGTATCATAGTAGTTTGTGTATAAACTATACAGAAGTTTCTTTGGCTGGTCAATGGTGCATCGTTAGATAATTCTCAAATGTATTATCGGACTATGAAATGTAATTGTTTTATTTTTCTTGGATGACTTGCATTATAATCTGGTTGGTACTAAACATTGATCATGTATTGTAACTGCTTTGCTGTATTTCTTACATTTGGCCTTGTTAAGACATTTTATGACCAATCAATTTGATGTGTACTTCTCTGTAGCTTGTTCATTGTAGTTTTAGTGAACTTATGTCCTAGCTGATGCACGATAATTCATCTTTTTTCCTACCCAAAATAGTTCTGCAATATAAAGGAGTTCTATTTAATGCCTTCGAAAACACAGGTAGGTGCAGATGATCAACATACTTGCAAGTGAAGCTGTTAATAACCAAAGCACGGGCTAAATGCAATTCTCTAAGCACATTAAGTGCAAATGATCAATATAATTGCAAGACGTGGATTAAATGAAATTCTTGTTAGATGGTGGCTATTGAAAGCATGTACCTATTCTCTAGATATTAGAACCGTATTGTGAGACAATCTTCACTGTTCCCTTCAAAGATATCAAATCCTCTATATTTTTGGTTATTTCTATCAATACATTAGAGTATCCTTAGTGAGATGTTGATGATTCTGATAAGATGAAACAGTTTCTTAGTATCCAGTGTTTGACATCGTAGTCACCGAACTCATCACACTATCATTTTGGCTTGTAAAATGGATGTATGTGGCAGTGTATATATATTTTTATTATACCTTAAATTCCTTTCACAAATGGATTAGCTTTTAAGTAGTGTTACTAATATATGGCATGCAGATTTTATGCTTGCAGGGATCATCGGATGGACCTGAACAGTAAGTTATTTCTGGTATTTTGCATTTTTTGTGTTCTTTCCCACCAAAACTCTTACAGAAGTTTCTTTTAATGTCCTTTCAGATATGTTGCAATCATGAATGCCATATTTTCTGCACAACGGTCTATGGTATGCAGTTGATCCTTTTCCTGTTCCTCAAAAGCATATAATTTTTTATTTGTTTTTTTGGGTATACTATTCTTCACTGTCAAATGCGTCCTTCTAGTGATGATGTTTGGAGTTGGTTTATTTTTGTGATCTCTGTGTGCGGTACAGACCTTTAGGAACTTTCTGTTTTCCACTTGAAAACTTATACTTTCTTAGACTCTTGGCATTTATTTTGGTACTTTTTAGTACAAGTGATTTGCCTCTTACAGCCCTTTTGATAAATTTTCTGAAAATGAAACAAGTATTAAGTGGCCATTCTTAATTTACCACTAAAGCAGAGATGTAACTTAGTGCTGTATATGCTCTTTGTATTTGCTTCTAAAAGATGATTGTATACAATCAATTGATTTGAAATCCAAATTTGCTCTCCTGTTTGGAGGGCAACAACAATGATCTGTAGCTATTTGGACAAATAACCCTCTGGCCTTGCCTCCCACTCTCTCTCTCTCTCTCTCTCTCTCTCTCATCATTAGGCAGTTCATTTGAATCAAGTAAATACTTACTTTGTTCTACTTTCCAGAAATCCAAACTTTGCCTTAAAAGTTATGATTTTGTTATTGCTTATCTACTTTCCAAACTGTTCTCTGTTACTAGCAACATTTGGTTCACGAACGTCAAATGTGTCATTGATTTTCTTCCACTTCAGGTTCCTATAGATTCTTGCTATATGGGCTCTAGCAACTCTGCCTTCCTACAGCAGGTAGCTTGTCTTTAGAGCATCTTTGTGATGGTTATTTTTTTGTAGAATTTGATAAGTGTTATTATCTTTATTCTTATGTTTGCTGTACTAAAATGCTTCTGATGGATGAGTAACAGGCTTCATACATTACTGGTGGTGTGTATCTGAAGCCCCAACAACCGAATGGGCTGTTCCAATATCTCTCGGTACGTTAAGAACTTAAACTGGTTGATGTGGAAACATCTTAGCCTTGTGATTTTACTTGTTTGTTTCAGTACGTGGTGTTTGGCTAAAGAAAATTGATTGGGGGGTCACTATTTTCCATTTGGTATTATTCACAAGACTTTTCCTTTTTGTTTCAACTTCTAGAGGCTAATGCAATAATTTAATTAATATGCAGACAGTTTTTGCAACTGATTTGCATTCTCGAGCCTTTTTACAGCTTCCTAAGTCTCTTGGTGTGGATTTTCGTGCCTCGTAAGTAAACTTTTTACAGTCATCAAATTATTTGTCTTCATATTGGATTTTTTATTAGAAAAGAAGAAAAGAGGTTTTCTGTAAGATTCAGTATCACTTTTAAGATTTAATGCCTATTTCTGGGAGCAAAGAGGAAGGGTGTATCTAAAATTTGATAATATTATAATGGGTGAGAGGCTCCTTTCTACTGAGCTACTTCAAGCATGATTTACAGGAAATGAGAGAGGCCCTGTATGATATATCACATTTCGTAAAAAATAGAAAAATCTTGAATTAAGTACAATCCAGGTTTCTAGGCTGTTCCTTTTAAAACTCATGTATTTTACAAAGATCAAAATCTTGATTGGAATTAATTGTTTGGATGTGTATTTTTTGGGGTCAATCTGTATAACTTTTTGAACGAGGGTTTGCATCAGGTGGGGTTCCCTACTTTCCTGAGCTCCATTAGGACATTTGGTTAGATATTTGGTAATAGTTGAGTTGACCTAGTGGTGTTACTATCTCTAATTCTTTCGTAGATAATTTTTCATCTACTTATTTTTAGTGGCAGTCATGTTAAGTAAATGATTTGAGTCTACATATAGTGCTTTTTTTTGGGTCGAAAGTCTACATATAGTGCTTGGATTAATGTGAAACCAGGAAAAAAAGGACAGAAGAAAATAACAATTTTCGGGCCTACATATTCTGTGTATTGTCTTATCTTTTGATTTCTTGAATTTTGCAGGTGTTTTTGCCATAAGAAGACAATAGACATGGGCTACATTTGTTCTGTGTGCTTGTCCATATTTTGTAAGCATCACAAGAAATGTTCAACTTGTGGGTAAGTTACCTCCTCTATATGCAGACTACATTATTAAAAGTAAATTAGTCGAGCCAATTTTCCTCTGCTGTCTTTAGTTTTTGATATGCTTGTCTTTGAAGACAGTGGTGACCTTTGATTGCCCTGAAAATCAGAGATCATATCATGATGATACAAAAATATTACAGCTACCACGTTTCTTGTTTAGTTAGAAAACTAGTTGTAGATACCCACAAATATTATTTACGTAATATTTTCAGTTAATCCTATAAATGTTAAATAATTAAAAATTTTCAGAGAGACATTGTGAAACTTCTTCTGGCAAAACACTAAGGCAATGAAACTTAAGTAATAATTATTACTTTTAATTGAAAGATAATTATTCATTTCATTGGTTTTTCTTTCAAATAAGCTTGGTAGATATGGAGGAAAAGAAATAAGTCACTACATTTTTTTGAATGAGAAACAAACACTACACCATGCCATGGTTGACAATCAATGCTACAAAACTTTCTCTTGCATAGTCAGAAATTCATTGTTTTGTTAAGAAGCAAGATTTACTGGGATCTGGAGATTCTTTTACCACCATCATTTCTTACCTCTCTTGATTGATGCAGGTCAGTATTTGGTCAAGCTCAGTCAGATGTTAACTCAACATCCAACAAGAAAAGAAAAACTCCAGAGACATAATGTTAGTTCTCTGAAGGCATACTGTGGTATTTTTAGTTTGTGCTCTTCCATATCATATTTGACCGTTCAATGTTAGTGTACTACTAAATTGTTTTTGTTCCCATTTACTGGCAGTGAGTTCTATGAGGGCTGTCTGGGAACCAGGTTTGCAGTGATACATGTGTGCCTCTCCTCGTAGAATTTTGGCACCATAGCTCAATCGAAGCGCATATCACTGGGTGTGTTTCATGATGCCAACAATTTTGCGGAGGTAAAAAGAAGTCTAGCTGGCTGATTATACAACTAAGGCGAGCTCATAGGCCCATTTATGATTTCTTGTATCTGATCTCGTGTTTAGAAAGTAGAGAGTGGCGGTTATCCCGGATGGTTATTAGATGGTAAAACATAATATAAAGAAATTACATGTATGCATGTTGTGAGCACACCACATGAAAAAGAATTACAGATTTGCATTTATACACAGTTACCGCATTTATCTGATTATACTGATTGCATCCGTTTTTGTGCTTTGGTGGCAAATTCGACTTTTGTTCTTTTCATTTCTCGCAATTGCAGCATTTAGAAACGATACTTTATAATCAATCAATGGTTCAATTCAATAGATCAGTCACTGAAATCATGGCGCACACGCAAGAACAAGCACTATTTACAATTATTTACACCAAATGGAAATTCTTAGAAGAAGCCAGCCACACTAGTGTACAGTTACAATTTGAGATTTTCTTTTGCAGCGGTGGGGCATAAATCCTCACATTGCCCTCATAATCACTTTGCTTGTTGTATGCACCCCCATTGCAGCAAATTTCAATATGGCACGGCTCCTATACAATCTGCAACACAACACAATGTGATAATATTAAGTCTTGTCGAGGCCATTTACAAGAAAGTAGGAAATGGGATACAACCTAATCTAAAAATGTCTTTTCCTACTTTGACAAAACATGTCATACGAAATATTCCAGGCAAATGTACATGCTATCTCTTGGATACCAATTGGCGGGAGCAGCGTAGGATACACCCATTTGTATGGCATTTTATGGCCAGAGGATAGCAGATAATCGTGGCAAACATTCCTTAGAGCATGCTAACACAATATTAAGTATGGCAAGAAATGCTCACCCGGTTAGAGCTAGTCCCCAGGTGGACAGGGCATAGAACAACTTCCCAGCATGCCAAATACCTAACACCTTCTCCAATTTGCTGACACCACCCATCGCTTTTGCTACAACTGCAAATTATAGATTCACAAGTATGGGTTTAGATAGAGTCATTCTCTTCTGCCCACTAAATCATAGAGGAAGACACTGAATCTTCAAAGTCATGCCCAAGAATAATCATAATTGCAGATATCAGACATAGAAATGAATATCTAGTTTCCAAGCTTTCCCAACATTAGATTAGAGATACCAAATTTCTAGAAGGAAAGAAACAACAGAAGTTAAATTCCATTTACTCGGTTCATACATCTTATCCAAGCATAAGATAGTCTAGGCAATAATCACAATGGGTAGCAAACATAAAAATATTGGCAATCGGTTTTTAATATCTACTACCAAAAGTATAGTTTACAAAATAGGTTGTCGATCATGTAGAAACATTTCTATCCCATAGAAAGATATCAAGTCACATAACCTATTAACAGTTTGGGGTTAAGAAGTTGCAAGCAGAGAGACAGTCAATTCAGAAAGGTGTCCAAAAAACTTACTTTTCTGCAGCTCCTCTGGTGTCAAATTCTGCAATTCCAAGGAAGCAAAATTATATGAGACCAAAATGAAACAATTTAAATAGCAAAAGCAAAAAGCTTTGAGTGGATGGGTACCCGAGCTTTAGGGTTTGACACAATACACTTAGCCATAAAATTGGCAATCCCATCCACCACATGCTCCTCACTAACAAGAACATAGCTTTCATTGTCAATTCCACTCCTTTCCTCAACTTTACCCGGAAGCATATCTTCCGTGACCCAAACCCACCAACTGGGTTCTTCATGGTCAACATTGATGAGAATTTCAGCTGCCTCCAAATCACTTCCTAAAACCCAAACATGGATTATAAACAAAGCTCAATGCTTTAATGGTTATAAGGGCAAAATTGAAACAATTCAAATACCTGAGGCCACCTTGAAAGGAAACTGATTTTCAGATTCCTGCTTTAGAGCTCTGATTCGCGTCAAGAAGTCGTTCGAATCCACAGTAGCTACTAAGCGAGCATACAACTGAATACGAAAAATCCCAAACATAACCATTTTAGTTTTTACATCAAAATTTGAAATCTTTACACAAATTGATCAAAAGGGCATCGAATTGAATCGACCCAAAATTTGCTTACATCGGGAGGACAATCGTTCAACAAAGAAGGCGATTCGGATAGGTTTTCGAGGAGCTTGAGATTCTGCTCCAGCGAGTTTCTCAGTCGCCGATTCTCCTCTCGCAGAGCCTCCAATTCTTCGTCAGACACCACGCACTTCGCTCCCTCGTGGTCCTTGTGGTCGGCGTCATGGTGAAGGTGGTGGTGGCCGCATTCCATGGCGGTCCATGCCACGTCAGCAACCTCCATGACCGTCTTGGCCACCTCTATAGCTCCATGTCCTCCCATCGCTACTTCTCACAAAATTGAGTTTTGGGGGTCGCCGGTTTGGGTTCGCGTTATATCAGAGGAAGGTAAACGCAACCGGGCGGGTCTTCGCTGGATTTTGGAGGAAAAGGGTAAACTTAGAATTTCACCTCAATGCTTTTTTCCATTTGGATTAATTTTTTTCTCAGGGACCAAATTACAGTTTCGTGTAAAATCCAGTGGCTGAAAAGATATTTTAACTCTTTCTTTCAATTATTTGCGTTATACGGCGTCGTGTATATTTGCTTTTCATTACGCATAACTGAAGTACCGTATTGCGGTGTCAGCATATACACGGTACACAAACTCCTCACTCTTCCCCTTCCTTTGCTCCTTTGGCCCTCTACTCGCACGTTTTTAAAGCACGGAGAGAGAGAGAGGAAGCTCTTCTTCTGAGACACAGATACAGAGGGAGAGAGACGGAGTTTGTAGTAGAATGGCGGAGGACGCGCAAGATAGCGAGAGCCCTGTGAAACAAGTGAAGCAGGAGGCGCACGATATCCAGTCCCAGATTAAGGATGTTATGCGCTCACGCGTCCCTTACTTCAAAGAACAATCCGAGTAGTCTCTCTCTCTATCTCTCTCTCTCTCTCTCTCTCTCTCTCTCTCTCTCTCTCTCTCTCTCTCTCTCTCTCTCTCTCTCTCTCTCTCTCTCTCTCTCTCTCTCTCTCTCTCTCTCTCTCTCTCTCTCTCTCTCTCTCTCTCTCTCTCTCTCTCTCTCTCTCTCTCTCTCTCTCTCTCTCTCTCTCTCTCTCTCTCTCTCTCTCTCTCTCTCTCTCTCTCTCTCTCTCTCTCTCTCTCTCTCTCTCTCTCTCTCTCTCTCTCTCTCTCTCTCTCTCTCTCTCTCTCTCTCTCTCTCTCTCTCTCTCTCTCTCTCTCTCTCTCTCTCTCTCTCTCTCTCTCTCTCTCTCTCTCTCTCTCTCTCTCTCTCTCTCTCTCTCTCTCTCTCTCTCTCTCTCTCTCTCTCTCTCTCTCTCTCTCTCTCTCTCTCTCTCTCTCTCTCTCTCTCTCTCTCTCTCTCTCTCTCTCTCTCTCTCTCTCTCTCTCTCTCTCTCTCTCTCTCTCTCTCTCTCTCTCTCTCTCTCTCTTTGAATTTGTTTTCTTTTTGAATAAATTTAGTGAAAATAAATATTACTGATTTTTATTTGTTTATTCGAGAAATGTGTTTATGAGAACTCTTTAGGATTGGTTTTCTTTCTACTGCAAGCTTGTATGTATGTTTTTAGTTTTTAATTATGCATGTTATTGATTTGATTAAGAGCCAGTGTGTGGATGCAAGTGTTTGGTGCTGTTTGCAATGTGTTTTGTGTTCATAGTGCCTGTATGTTCAGTTGTTTTGTTTAGGGTTTTGAAGCTTCAGAGTGTTCTACACGCTCTATGCTTTATTTGGGTCATAGAAAAACAAGTCACCGGTGAGAGGCAAACTCTGCATTTGGGCAAAGTGAAGCACACCTTACACTGACATATTTAATCATTCTCTTAAAAAACTACACAAAGCAAAATTATTTTGTTTACAACCGAGAAAGCAACTCAAACACAGTCAATTACTTCATCTGCCTACCAACATACGACAATCCGCCAACATCGTAATCCAACTGTAAGAGTTGTTCCAGTTGTTTCCCACTGCAGTGATTATCAAATTCTTTAATGTTTTTTGACCTAATTTGTATGGTTCATAATTGCCTTTCTTTATCAGATTGAAACCCTAACCGTTGAAACCCCAAAATGAGTTCCAAGAATTCAAATTCGCAGTGTTTTTTTAATTGTTATTTATTACTTATTTTAAATCTGGGTAGTGTCAAATATTGAAATAGGTTTGATTTTTTGGGTAACCCCTTGCTGTTCTTCATTCGCTTGCTTACCTTGTGCTCAACTTCTATGACCACATTGCGAAATTCCTCTTCCCAATCGCCACTTGATCGCAATGGTTCCCTCATTGTAAATTTGATTGAAATGGTTTCAAAGGGAAGCTCAAGAAGCTATGTAGTTCCCTTGAAACTTCAAAATGAAGTTGAACTGCTTGTACGTTTAGGTTAGATGAACTTGTGGATTTAGGGTTTGCTTACTTCTTTTAGGTCTGCATATAACCCAAACATCAGGTTTTCTTGAAATGGTTAATGGTTATGTCATTAATGCATTTAGCAATTTGTTCAGTTATTTGTGTTCAATAAAATTGATATGGATGAATTTAATTTAAACATTCTTGTTAATCCATCATTGGTGGCTTGAGCATGTTAGAGCTGTCTATGGTTGGATTATTTATTACAATTTTATTTTGAAATGCAGTTCTTTGACTTTTGAGGGCGTCCGAAGATTGTTAGAGAAAGACTTGGGGTTGGAGACATTTGCATTGGATGTGCACAAAAGATTTGTCAAGGAACACTTGGTGGAGGTAATAAATTTTTTTTTTTGAATAGAAACATTTTGTATTTGAAATTATAAAGGATAAAAAAGGAGGACATTTAGAACACAGACAAAAAGAAAGAAGCAATGGCCAGTGAAACAAATGCAAGGCCATGCAACACAAAAAATAAAACAGCCAATCAAAAGACAACCCCTTAAGATACTACAGCTAGCAGATTGCGCATAATTGTAGGATAGGATATATCCTTAAAGGCAAGGGAAGTTGAAGCCCAAAGCCCAAAACTTCACTCTATCCCATAACTCTACCACTCCCACTCCCACTCCCTTATAATCCTTGAAGATTCTCCTGTTACGTTCCAGCCAAAGGTTCCAGATCACTACCTGCATCATACTGCCCCAAAGAATTTTAGTTTTCTTTCCTCTTCCCAAAGCATCAAATTTGATG